CAAGCAGTGTTCAGTAGTCACTAGGGGAGGATAAATACCCAACAGTGGTCTTGGAAGGAACATGAACGAGAAAACGTGCAGGAAAAGAAACATACATTACAAAACTATGGCAGTGCCTAGACACTCTAAAATAACGTGCTCCAAGGCAAAGGCCGCGACGCAACCGCCGCAAGTAGTGTTTGTCTGATTTTGTTGTTTAAGTTCTCTGCAGAACCGATGGAATCAGTAGGTATTCGTATTGCAGGTCGTTGAAAAGCAACAAATCCGATTCGGTGATCTCGTCTGTTGCTTGTGAAAGCATTCTCTCGCCAAAAGGACATGGTGCCGAAGAAGAAGTTGAAAAATAAGGCTAAACCTAAGTTGAAGACCAAAGAAGAATCGGAGACAGATGAAGAGGTGATTGTTTATCAATGTCTTTTGGGCAGTGGAATACTGAAAACAATACAGTACTGAATAAGGTAACATCAATAAGATGGGAGTGTAATTTAACTTATTCTGTTTGAGGCTTCAAATCATGTGGTTACTTCCTTCTCATTGCAAATTGAATTACCCATTTCAGCCGGTAATTAAGACGTTTGGAAACCTCGAACTTTTCAGAATTATGAAGTTGTCGATCTATCTGCAGTCCCGACACCAAAAGTAGAATTTATGATGCCCAATCTTACACCGTTGGAAAGTTACAAAAGTGAGGTATGAAACTATTTCTTTCTCTTTTTTTCGGATTCCTTTTTAATAGTTGATTGCCGCGACGTTAACTAGGCCAGGTAGGACCACTGAGTACTTGATCAAGGATACTCATGAGAACGAAAAACTACGCTACCGGCTAAGGGTTCCAAGTCAAGAGGGATTGGTGTTGGTGAATCTTCGAGCACTGAAAAGAGTCGGGACATGTTCAGCCTTCCTTGTTCATTTACTGGATACCAGTTCAATTGTCGAACACAACAGCAGATTGCAGTGGATTAATGGAAAAATCACAACCGGGAGATGATCTTCCGGTATGGGAATTCATCTTCACCCTTTTCTCCCACTAGAGAAGCTTTTACTGTTGTCAAGCAATTTAAACCTTAAACAGTAAGTAGATACGCTGACTCATATCGCCGTGTTCTACTGAAACGAATGCCTGCGCAAAATCTAGAACTTATCGAATACGTTTTTTTAGCCGAAGCCCAAGCCAAGCAAGAAACCAAAAAAGCGGAAAGCTTCGCCGTCTGCTGGTCATGTGCTGACTGCTGAGCAGCTGAACAACGAGGTGAGGTTATCATCAGGATTAATGGGTCGAGGGGTGTATTTCCTTTTTTTGAGATAGTGGGAATGCGTGCCGTCATAAATAAAGCCCGCATGTCTCTCGTCCGGCATCTTGTGAGGAAGCTGAAGCGATTAAAATCGGTCGTTGCGAAAAAGCCATCGGAAGTATTGCAGAGGAAGATGCGAAGGTACGAGGAGGAGATACACGCCATGAAGGTCAGTTGGCCTGTTGAGAAGTCTCTTCGGCTTCTGTTATGGTCATTATGTTTGGAAGTGTATACCTCGTTTGAACTAGGTTTGATGCTTTCTATAGTTTCTATGGTTTGAGGATAGTGTTGCGAAAAACGACGGCAAGCCAAAGTTTCTTTGTTTCAGACCATTGCACGGGATGACGTTTCGAAATTTGCACTTTTGAATAAAAAGAGTCTGAATGAGCTGCGCATTACGGTAGGTATCGCTCCATGACATGATCTACTTATCACCTGTGAATTCGTTATTGAAGGGAACAACTCCAGTGAAAGAGCGTTGTCTCTGGAAGCTTGCCTGCGAACGTTGTGTTGTTAAAGCTGTTGAAGAATATCGGTATGATTTTTCAGGAATAGCTTCAAGAATCTAATCTGTCTTATAGCTGATCAAAGTTATTTATAGCACTCGTTTCCCGAATTCTGAAGCGACTACGGCATTTTTTCTTCAACGTCTAGGACTCCAATATTCAGTGGATAAAGAAATGAACAATTTCAAATCTCTCGATTCGAAGAAGGACGAAGGTGATGATGACTCACAGGAAGCATGTACTACTAGTAACGCCATTGTCAGCACAAAGAGGAGAGAACCATCAGACTCTGAAAGCGAAAGTGAGGCAAGTGATGGTGATGTCTCGAACAGAAAAGGTAGACTTTTCGATTCCGACATATCTTCCGAAGAAGACCGCGGCATAATCATCGGTTCGGATAGCGATGATGACGGAGGTAAAGCCGCGGAAAATCGTCTGAAGCTGGTTTGTTCTTCAACAACATTTTCATGCCCTTGTTTTGTGTTTTTTGCAGAGTTTTCTATTTCAGTTACTGAGTTCTCCAAAAGAACCTATGAAGTTGACCAAGAAAAAGAAAAGCCTGAAGAAAAGTAAAGGTGCGGTGCTGCAAGGCAATGCATCTACAAGTTTGAAGAAAGAAACGGGAGCTATGGCGAGTTTGGCTGTATTTTTGATTTTCCTCTTTGAATGAGTTGACCAAATTCGTTGAGATGCTAATGGGTAAAGAAATTTCATCAAAAGTCTGGAATTATGAGAGTATTTTCCTTTTTGGAAAAGGTCACTCTAGTTGTAAAGTGTTGACCACACTTTCGGTCTTCCATTTATCATATAGATAGATAGATCGATAGGCATATATAACAATCTCTACTAGAAATCCTCTTCGTTAGCGATTTCCTTTTCAATATTAGGGCAAATGAAGTTTTGTAAACAATGTGGTTTTTGGCGGAAGGGCATGGTTTTGTTTTACAGGCTGTTATAAAGAAAGTAAAGCTCAGTGAAGGAGGGGAAATTGTATTGGAAAAACCTGTGTCAATGGAAGCTATGGCTGTCGTATCCGAAAATGGTCATGAAAATGAAAATGATTCTCCATCCTACAGTTTCTTCCTTCCTGCCTCTGCAGTTCCAGACATCGGTGAGTTTCGAGTCCTTCACTTTCAAATTCATTAACTCTCTTTTTTCAAAAAATGCTTTCCAGACTTCAGTGCTTATTATCTGACTCAATCCTACTTACTATAAAGCGCTTAGTTTGTCTGTCTGTCTACTTGTCTGTCTGTCTGTCTGTCTGTCTGTCTGTCTGTCTGTCTGTCTGTCTGTCTGTCTGTCTGTCTGTCTGTCTGTCTGTCTGCTACGAAATTCCTTAGCTCCTTCAGATCTGCCTGGAGAGACCATGTCAAGCGTGGGATGGGTGGGCCATGTCCCGAGAAGTATAAAGCACACATCAGCTTGGCGGAGTCCCGCCCACAGTCGGCGTGGCGTGCATCGAAATGAGCTGTACTGAGGGCCGTGATTTCAAATTCAGTCACAAGACAGCCTCAAAACTGGGGTGTGAGGGTGGCTAGAGGTGTGCATTGGTAAGTTAGATCCAAATGGGGAGACCCACCCCCGGCGTTTTCTAAAAATGCAATGCTTTATGGAAACATATATAACTCGGTTTGGAGAAAGCCAACAGAGCAGGAAAAAGTTGATGTGGGAGGAGCATTGTCGAAGGTGTCTCCAGCATAAATGACGTCAGCGGAGGCCTGCCCACAATGGGCGGATGCCTCGAAGCTCACATCTCTTCTTTAATTTATATACGAAAATCCATAACTCCAGTTCCCATGGACTAGAAAGTTCAGACTTGGTAGCAGTACCGGCGCCGTGGTGGGAACACTTATGGTGGGTGGCAGGACCAGACTCCGCCCACAGGAGGCGAGGTTTGAGCGTAAACTCATAAATCCGATAAAGGTCCATAATGAAAATCAGCTCATGTGGCTCCGTTTCTCATGGGTAGAGCCCCTAGCGCACGCGATAGCGTGCGTAGCTGCCTGGTATATCGTAAACCAATTGTACTTTTTTCAAGTGTAGTGTGTATAATTAAATACTATTGTAGACCTAGCGTTCTCAGAACCGTTCCATTTTTTCGACGCTTGTTCGCCAAGAGCAAACCAGAGTTGTTTAGCAAAATGAAGAACTGATTTCTATCCGTGAAATTCGCTTTTCAAGGTGTAAATACAGGGCATTTTCTTTCTTATTAACACGCAGTGCAACTGTAATTTTAATATTTCATTTTCTGATGCCTTTGATAAGGAATTTCGTATGCAGAAGCAAAGCGTGTACCTACAGCTACGACTTCATCGAAAGCTGAAGCTCCTCAAAAACATGACGGTGTGAAGAAGTTGAAGAAGTCCAGCGGAGAGAAGGAAAGCGGTAGTCCTGTTAAACTCAAGAAGAAGAAAATGTTACCTGGTAATCAAATAACTTCTAAGGCTAAGGAGTCTCATAGTCCCATCGGTGAGTTTGCTTACATTTTTTCATTCCACTTCCACTTTGGAAGAAAATGAAAATTAGAGGGAAATCAAGCTTATTGCGTGTGAGATTTGGTGGAATCATATTAATCGTGTAACGCCAAAAAAACTCAAAGCGATTGAGGAATGGACAAAGAAAGTCGAAAAAATTTCGGAGGATTCCGAAAACTGCTATGTTTCTAGTAAAAAAAGTGAAAAAAGTTCTGGGAAACCAAGCAGCAGGCAGTAATTCAGTACAAGAACCCATATGGGATAGCACGCTAGGACTGGACTATCTCGTGGGAAACACAAGATTGAGAGTTTTAAATTAAAGTTCACTGATATCCCTTATGATATTAACCCATTGGCGACCATGCAGACCACATGCGGGTGGCACTTTTTCGGCCGTGAGGGACCGTGCAGTCCACATGTGGACTGCAGTTGTATTTTTTGTTTTATTCATCTATATTTCCATTTTTTTATCATTTTTCTTCTCGGAACATTAAATCAGGCCAAGATGAAAAAACATACAGCGTGGTACTAAAAAATCTTCTAATTCTGCAATTGTAAAGGTGTTTTTTCGATAGAGTACATTACCTTGGTGAATTCTACGTTCGTTGAACAACTTCAAAAAATGAGATATTTCAAAAATACGGTTGTCATGAGCATTTTCGCTGTTATCGACCAAATGCCAAGATCGTAAAAGTTTCCCGAACCGATTTCTGGTAATGATTGAACTCATAATTGAATGGCCAATAGAACGAGTGCCGGTTCTATAATAAAGATCAATAATCACTAAATGTCGGCATTCTTACCAAACCCATTCGAAGGAACATTCCGTAAAACTTATAATTCCCTTATAAACTTCAAGAAAAGGTCATTCTGGACCATGAAGTCCACACGAGGGCTGCAGTCACGAGTGGACGAAAAGTGCGTCGGTCCCTCGCGGCACTTTTCCCGCAAAACGTCTTGGTCGTCAATGGGTTAATATCAGATATCCCTGTGTTGGACGGATGTGGTGTAGTGGCAAGTGGCGCACTTCACACATGCGTGTTCACGGGTTTGAATCCTAGATCGATATAAGCCTAGGCCAACCAAGCATTCCATCCCTCACGGGTCGGCTACGCGGTTTCAGGCTCGTCGGGGAGGCTAACCATAAGAGCAGCGACTTATACATCGGCTGGCCATCGGATTTCATTGTATAGGCTACATGCGCATTTACAACGGTGACACGGTTTTGAATGGAAGTCCATTGCGGGGGCGCATCCCTTCGACGGGGTTGATTACCGCCAAAAACTTTATCCTTTATCCTTCGGAATACATTTGGGATAATTGCTCTGAAGGATTTGCTCTTGGATTTTGATGCCGTGGTAGAGAGTGTAGAATGTAGAAGCAAAGCGTGTACTTACAGCTACGACTTCTTCAAAAGCCACAGTTCTTCAAAAACATGACCGTGCGAAGAAGTCGAAGAAGTCCAGCGTAGGGAAGAGGAATGGTGGCCTTGTTGAACTCAAGAAGCAAAAAATGTTGCCTGATCATCAAATGAACTCGAAGGCTAGTGAGTCTCATATTCCCATCGGTGAGTTTGTCTACATTTTTTATTCTATTTCCATTTTGAGAGAACGTGAAAATTAGAAGGAAATCGAGCTTCCTGCGTGTGAGGTTTGGTAGGATCATATCAGCTGCCATAATGCCGAAAAAAGTAAAAGCGAGTGAAGAAGATACAAAGAAAGCTGATGCAATTTCCAAAAGCGCCAAAATCTGGTTTTTACTATCGATCTAGGATCTTTTAATAACGTTTGCCTTGATCAGTCTAGTCCACCCGACACAAGAGTTCTACAGCAAAGGAGCAGGGGCTCGCTTAGGTGTCACACGCGTTCTCCACACAATCTGGATATGCCTATTTATCACCATCAATCGATCATCATCTCTTAAGATCCCTTCGACTTTGTCAGTCGTGAAAGATAGCTAATAATGGAGGTGCACTGTTTTTGCTAGCTTATTATGCTACTTTCAGTTGAGCTCAAAAAGGGACTTACGTAGTTGGAGAGAGACGTATTTATTAAAGTGCAGGCAATATTTTTATTCTGTGTATTTTTGTGAAATAGAAGTAGTATGCTTCCAGATGAACTTCATCCTTCATGGGCAGCCCGTCGCCGTGCTAAAGAACAGCAAAGCATGGCGCCTCAAGGCAAAAGAATCGTTTTCAGTGACGATTAGCTGTTGTTCTAGTTGGTTTTCAGTTGTTGTTTTTTGTTTTTGTTGTATTTGTTGAATGTGATTGTCTTATAAACTGGTGGAGATCTCATGATTTTCGTTTATATTTGAGTTTATCTGATGTTTTACAATCACAGTTTTGATAAAGTGAAAGCCCTATAAGGACTGTTGTTGTGCTCAGTGATCTCGTTGAAGACGGCATTATGTTCTCAAAAAGACTGTTTGCGAAATCGTTTGCTTCTAAACCACTTACCCTGAAGTAACGGAAGCTACTTAGTGTACATTAGAAATACCATTTGCGGATCATGCCAACCGATGAAGGTGCTCAACGATAAACCTTGTGTATTTTACTTGGGCGCACATTTCATGCCTTCATTCCGTGACGGGGCTTCTCCTGAAAACCAGGTAGTTGGTAAGGGATGAAAGGCGGCTTCCACGCTCTCCTCGGAAATTCCTCACTTTTTCAATGCTCTTGAAAGGAACACCCTCCACCTTTGGAGGTTCTCATTTTTGTTAACTATGTGTAATATGAGGGAGATCAATTCCAAACAGAGGAAATCGTATCAATAGAATCGTTCTGTTAGTGAGACGGGGGAGGATCGTCTTGAAGTGCACGTATCAGAAGGATAAGTAAGTGACTCCAACCTGGACGAAATGAACAATCGGTGTCGTTTCGGCTCTCAAACCAACCGTGGTTTTGTGGTGAATTGGGTGGCCCCCGGATTTGTCTGGCAATAAGTAAAGGTGGTCCCAACGATTATGGAATTATTTTTTCAAAACGGAACCATGGGACTATCAATCGATAGTGTATGCATGTATGTACACAGCATCTCCTCCGGGAGGACCTGCTTCGACTATTTGTTCACTATGTACTATGCTAACTCATAATTCGGATGCAAAACCAAAACTGAAAAAAACAGCGGTGCGTATCAGGGTCTATTGATCTCAAGAGACCCAAGGATCCATCCACGTTTAGAGCACGCTAGTAGGGACCAAATTTTTGGACTCTCCTTGTTGCCGTTTCCGGGTTTCGGAAATACCGAGCCGCTTAGAGAAGCCCCATTTTTGTTGGAAACGAGTTTACAGCTTTCTTTAGTGAAAGCGGGACCAGGGAAGGGGACAGAGCATCCATCACCGATTGAAGGTCTCAATTGCTATATGTGTACGATCAACAGATTGCTATCAATGTCATCAGATTGCGTTCATTGATGAGAGGGCGGAGCTGCGCCGTCGTGACGTCTGTCTTCCATCGCCTCTCTATTCAACCAACCTGTTACCTTGCAAGTAAGCGGAGAGCAATGGTGGTGAGTATCTACAAATTATTTGCAGCCCTTTGTCTCATCGATTTCTGCACCAACGTTTTCGCAGCACCCACATGCAAGGTACACACTGAGCACTTCACTATGCTAATTTGGGCACAAAACACCATTGCTGTTTTATTTCAGAAACTTACTGAAGAAGAGCGGAAGGAGCTGTTAAATCCTTTGTTGACAGCAGGATGGAAAATGGTCGATGGACGTGATGCTATGAAGAAGTCTTTCCAGTTCAAAGACTTCAACGAGGTTCGAAATTTCTGGCAAAACTGTTCTCTCCTCAGTTAAATAATGTTTAACTGTCTTCTGGAGTGACTTGTGCCGTTATCTTACTTGGTTGCTAGCTTCTTGAACTTCCTCTTCTAGTCTGGGAAACCCACTTCTTTGCATGAGAGAGACATAACATATGGGAACTTCTTTGACGGGCTGCTTTCCTCCATATGAGTTTCGTCTCACTGAACTATAGTAGATTTTCAACAATGAAAAAAGATAGTTCTATTAGTTCGGTCCTAAAAAAGCTCGTTTCCTCGTTGGAAAGAATTCAGAGTTGCGCATGAAGTTCTGCTAAGTAGATAGTGATGATCGGTTTGCTCAACCCACCGTCAGAGAAACTCATTTTCTCTCCTCATCCATTTGCGAGCAACTTTTCTGTCTCTCACACGTCTTTCCGCCTTTCTCCTGCATAAGATAATAACTCTGCGTTGAAAATGAGTTGCGGAATCCCTCATTCCTACATCGGGACTCTTTGAAAGTTTTCCACTGTTCTAGTGCTACAGAGAGCAAGCCGTGGATCGATCGCGGTCCACCTGTTAGCTCGATAAAGTATAAAGGATGGAGCCTGTAGGCGTTGAACAATCCCGTCTAAGGATGCGCCCCGCACTTGACTTCCATTCAGAACCGTAGTGGCGGATTGAATGTGTATGTGGCCTATACAATGTCTTGCGTTGGCCAGCCGATGATTAAGTCTTCGCTTTTATCCTGCCAGGCAATTCCGGTACCAGTTAATCGACCCTAGAGAGGTTGAAGGCTTGCTCTGCGGATATGATACGGGATTCGAAGCTATTACCATGCGTGTGTGATAGTGCGCCACTTGCCACTACGCCAACTCCACCCCACTGTTAGTTCGAAAGTCTTCTAATGAATTTCGCATCTCAACGACGCCCTCATATGTGTTCTACTAGTGCCTGGATCGCTTTCAACATTGCATTGATGTTTGCTTGATTTTTTAAGGCTGTCAGTAGCATAAGTTGCCATTTATCGGAGTTGTGGGCAGCTGCCCACCAAGTTCTTCAAACTAGAAGGAATCAGAGTCGCGAAGTCATTTTGTTTCGCTCGAGACCCTCCAGAAGATAGTCTTCCCTGTTTATCATTCATTACTCATCGGCACGATTATGAGACTTTTCAATAACCCGTTTGAGTATCCATAATCACTGAATGTGGCCCAGCGGTGTAGTGTGTCACTTAATGCTGGAACCCATCCCAGCTGATGCCATTGAATCAAAGTATTTCCTATGGGAATCACGGTAATTGCAACTAAAAGGTAGGCCAAAGCAGCCAGGAAAGCTCGTAGGCTGGCTGGAATCGGGGGTGACTAGGGTTGCTGTCACTGCAAAAGTGATCATGTAGTAACCCTTGTTCTATATTACTGAGTGCAACCCGGTGGTGTCGTCTGTCAAGTCGTACTGAGGTGCCTCTCCCTACATGTTCGTGGAGAAGTCGAAACTTGGTGTACCATCAACTGCAGGGCTGTAGACTGGTTAAAGTCATGCAATATAAATACGACTGTCGTGAGCACTGTAGCCTCAATTCGTCGCTCTGCGATGATTCCAGTCTTCCACTTCTCGAGGATAGGTAGTTCGAAGTGCCCACTCCGTTCGAAGTCATAATAATGCGAACGAATATCACGACAAGCGGTACCCTCAGTAGCTGTGAACTACACCCCGATTTCCACGCAAATCTTGTTGACTGAACCTGCTTGTTGGGTCAAAAGCTTTCTTAACCTTGGCTATGTTCCCAAGTGTTCTAACCACCCAACAATCAGATGTGAGCAGAAGGAGGAAGACTACATTTCGTTGACTCAGGCATAATTTTCCTCTCTGCTTTTTACCTTTCTCGATTGATCTCGTGCCAGCGAGTGACTGATGACTCGTTCTAGAAGTGCTTATAATTGATGGACTGCTCTCCTCCGCCTGTGGCAGGTACCCCTTCAATACGTAACGTACATTTAGAAACTTGTCGTTAGGCATCAGTTGCGAGTACTTGTAGAATGATTATTGGCTGCTTGAATGCTTTGAATTTTTTTCTTTCATGACCCTTCTTGGGTCGCCTGGGTTGTGGGGCTTACGTAAGCTGTGCTGCAGCGACTTTTGTGAGCTTTGTACTCAGAATTCCCTTCAAAATTTCCACGAATTGGTGGAACTGAATTTATAATTGTATCCACATCTCTTTCCCTCATCATCACCCCATGTCGCGGTCCTCCCGGCGCCCTGGCGTGGCAAGCTCATTTTATGGAAGCTTCTACAACTCGGATGAATAATTCTCTTGGCATGAGCAATTACATAAGGGAGCAAAATGTTTTCTTTGTAGGTAAGGAAAGGTATCCCGTTCATGACTGTCATCCTTTCAGGCATTCGGTTTCATGAGTCGAGTAGCTTTGAAAGCTGAAAAAATGGATCATCATCCAGAATGGTTCAATGTGTACAATAAGGTGAGTGAGGATTTAAACGAATGGATCCTCAGGCCCACCTCCTTTTGTAATAATGCATTACTTTTAAAATGGGTGGTTAGCTTTTCGTCGAGATTTACTCAGTTCTGTTATTTATAGGTGGACATCACGCTGAGTACACACGACTGTGGTGGTCTGTCGCAAAATGACATCACATTGGCAAAATTCATCGAATCGGTCAAAAACTGATTCTTTCGCGACTTTCATTGAGTTTGTTAGTTTGCTAGGATATACTTTGCATGAAATTCGATCGATAAAATTCTTTTTCTAAACTGGTTACCATTTTCTTCACAATGGAATAAGATGTTCTATTGTCTGCTTCCTGACGATCGTCGCGAGATAGTCATTAACTAGTTGTGTCACTAAGTCTTCGACGCAATCTTTGGAAGGGTTTCATTAAGAACAACGAGAACTGGGTGGTTTCTGAACCGAACTGGCTAAAATCACCGTATCATCCTTTCACAGTTGGCTGGAACGGCAAATGTCTGAAAAAGAAATTGTCTGGCACGCCAAGTCAGTCCAGACTCCAAAGCAGTTAGAATCACTGCAATGTTTGTACTGGCGTGGAATGGACTTTTGAGAATGTTGTTTATGCCCACACGCAGTGAAACACCTGCACGATTCGGAAAGTTGGTAAGAGGTAGTGAATGGATCGAGAGAGTCGATCGCCACTGAACAAGTTCTTATTCCAGTTCTTTTCCATGGCATTTGTTGTTTTTACACCAGTGACAGTGCAGTATTCTCGATAACGAAATCAAAGAGGGTTTAGCCAATGCAACTTGCGGGTTAGGGACATTTTTGAACGTATAGATTGCCATCTTTCAAGGCGCATGTGGTGCAGTGGCAAGTGATGTGTTCGATCACATGCTGGTCCAGGGATCGAATCCGAGTCAATACTTTCAGAACATTCGGGCCTACCCTCAATCTCGAGTCGGTTAATTGGTACTAGATTTGTTTGGGTTGACGGTAGCATGGACTATTATATTCCTGTCCATCGCAAGCCGTTGTATATGCACCATACGCATTCAAAACGCCACTACCATTCTGGATAGAAGTCGAGTGCGTGGCACATCACGGGAGGTATCGATCAACACCAACAAGCTCCATGCGTTATTTTACTTACATCTCGATTACTTACTTAAAGAATCGGTATCACGCATTTTTTAACTCCTGCTTATGCAGTTTCACGGTTAAGTGGGAAACAAAAATAGTTGTACCGCGAAGAAGAGCTGTACCCACCCTATCATGATCATTGTTGGTCAGTCGCTTCTGTGCATTTGCAATTCCTCTGTTCTGTCGAGTTCGTTTTTTTTTTGCCCGTTTTTCAGAAAACCTTACACATGTTTGCGGACAGCTTCCAGTAAGTA